TGTCGTGCGTTCGTCGCATATGCCGTGTCGCCTCATCATTCTCTATCATCTCTCTCACTCTAGTTGATCCACTTCCGTGATGGCCATATCGCAGGGCGCGAGGCTGAAACCCCTCCGCGGGGAAGAGTCCGGTCTGGGGGAGTGTTTTTTCACGGTTTTTCGCTTTTTGTTTGTGGCACCAGCGCGGTGCGTGCGGTGCTACTTGCGTGTTGCAGAGGAGCATTTGAATGCATTTAAGCCAATAGATAGGCGAAAGAATAGAGAAGGACATTAGACTGTTGGTAGTAAGATACAGTTCGTGTTTATTTACCAGTCATTTTTAACTATTGGAAAGCAGGTCCAAGTGTCTGTTGGTGCGGTTCGCTCTAATTTCCCGCGTATCCACGGGCGGCACGGGAAACAACCCGGCGCCCACCGCCGCGGGTCGGTCGAGGAGGCGTGTTTCGACGCTGTCATCGCGACGTGGCGGGCGCCGCAGGGGCGTTTTTTGTTCGGTTCCGTTGTCGTTGTTTACACCTGCTGTTACGGCCGTGCAGAGGCCACCGGGATCTCGCAAGATGTGACGTTAGCCGTTCACAGCTACCAGGCTGAAGTTCCGGTGTTTGGTACGCAGTTAAGGGATACTCTCCACGTTGTGCATGAAATTTCCATCGATTTTTCGTTTCAACCTTTATTCGATGCTAACACTATGTGCCACTTGGTGTACATGCCTCAGTTCTCCATAATAAACGGTACAGTGTGAACTGTCAGACGTTTTTGCTTGCGCCGCGTACATGTGTAGTAAGCAGCGGGCTGACGTCGATAATGGACGTATGTCAGGAGCACAGTGATCCAACACGATAAGTTAACTACGCCAGTACATTCAGGACCCAGCGTCAAGCTCCGCTACCGGCTTCAGTTGACTATAGTATTCATTGACATTCTAGTGTCAGTTCTGCTAGTGATCCACACAAGTGATCCCGACCCCAAAATTAGTTCTAGGACACCTCGCGAACATACCTTACTGTAGTGCGGACACCGCGGCGCGAGTTGTTGACGGATATTAGCTTGGGTGGAGTGTCGAGGATATCGAGTTGGCGCGCGTTCTTGCGATGGTAACCTGTAATATTTCTCAGAATTTCTCGAAGGTGGGCATGGGATCATTTCCACAATTTAGTGTGTCCAGTGTAGTCAGGATCTTCGCAGTTAAGTACTAACAAGTAGAGTATACACATACTCACCCCATTTCAGCGACAGGCGTCAGCTTCTCTTTGTGAAAAATAGAGAAACGCCCTCATGTTTCCGGTTTCCGATTTCGGTGACATACGTAGCGATGTAAGTAAATAGGGATGATTTGCTTTGTGATTACAATCTGGATCGGATTAGATTTAATTTTTACACAGTCGTTTGAATGGGTAGAACATATTGTGGGTATGAAGAAGGTGCGTCAGGGCGATTGTTATTAATGTGCCGTACCTTATTACGTTATGGTTGCTCTTCTGATTGCCGAAATTTTCTATTTAACAAACACAGACTGTCAGTACAGGTACTGCTTTGATTTTTAAAAAGCAGTTTTTCCCAGTTTTCTCGGTAAAGTATGAAAATTTAGAAGAAAAATTCTGGACGCACCTATTTTGGCCATATTGTGCTTTAACATTGCAAACATTTTTATTCTCACTCTTTCTGATGAGTTGAGAAATATCTAAGAATGCCATTCTTACAAGAATAAAATTTCAAGAATTTGTGTTGGTAACATAAATTAAGCGCGGGAAATTTATCATGAAATTTTTTTGGCTTGAGCATAGAGCTATACTCATCCTATAAAAAAACAAATGACTCCCAAGCACGCAACCCAAACCGATCAAAACAAAGTGAGTTGATTCGAGTTTATCATTCCGCTCAATTAAAGTTAATCTTGCACTAGATGCATCACAATCCCGGATGCACAACGTGGGAGTACCCATTATTTAATTACGACGGGGGGTCCACTGAACGCGGGGGCGGCGTAGGACGGCGTTGGGCGAGCCTGAGGTGTGCAGCGGGTTGAATAAGGAGAGCGTGCGAGTGAACAATCCCCACAAGCGTCCTGCCGATAACGTGTTCAAAGGTTTGTGAAAAGTCTCGCCCACCGTGCAGATTTTTTGTTTTTCTTCTGTTCCAAACACGTCCTCACTTTCAACATCAACACATCAGGCCAACCATATATTTTGTGCGGTGCTGGTTCTGATTGTATTCGTAGACGAGGAGAAAATAGGCTCAATTGTGCGTTCCGCGGTGAACGTGCCTGCGTACGCGTGGCAGTCGTGCGTTGACCGCCTTTGCGACGGTGTCGCGTTGGCGTGGCTACGCCCAACGGCGGTGTGCGTGCATACGTGCGGTGCATTAAAACGTGCGTGCGTGCGTTGCAGTACGTGCGTGCGTGGCGTGCATACGCCGCGTGCGTGCCGTAACGTACGCTACGGTACGGTGGGCGTGCGTGCGTGGGCGGTGCGGCATGCGTTTCCTACGAGTTTATTCCCACAAGTTGCATAGGTATGGTTTCCCTGTTTGCGCCGAAGCGACGCACGCACATAGCGTCTGCCAACTCGCAGCGCGACTACATAAGGCTGCTGTAACAGTAGTATCTCGTTCACAAGCCCAACCTGAACCGACCTTACCCAAGCGGACGGAGTTGGAGGGCAAACTGCGTTCATGCGTGAAACAGTTTCTGGCTCGCGTGGCGACGAGGGTGAACATTGCCGACCAGATCGCGCGACCAATATTACAGCGGGTTAATAATATACAGGAAAGCGGGCCTGTGCTGCTATATATCGGGTACCGTGCGTGTGCTAGGCCTATATAGCTGCGTTGTACGGTGGGGTGGGATTATATCAAGAGTAGATAATAGGGATCCTATTACTAACTCCTGGTTATATCCGATGTG